CCTGTGAGAGGAAGAGAGTGCTGCCACCATCTCCTCCTGGTTTGATGGGATGTCGAGTCATCCTGGATTTCCTAAGATTCAGTGAGGCAGGGCCATCCCACAGCCCCCCGTAGCACATCATAAGGAAGCGTCAGCACTTCCTGTGCTTCCTCCAGCTCTTGGCTCCTGTGCTGTAGGTCAGAAGGTGGGAACGCGGAGGTGCCACCTTCTGAGAGATATGAGGGGTCCAAAACAGAGGTCCATCCCATCCTCAGGGCAGCCTTTTCTCTTTCTGCTTCCCAGTTCTCTCTCCCCCCGCAACCCCCCACCCCCAAACACTGCTGGTCTCTGAACACCAGACGCTTCACCCTCCCTCTGTGTTTCTAGCCCCATCTTCTTCCTCAGATTCCATGCATCTAGAGCTTCCTCTGTGATACCTCCCACTGCTCTAGTGTTCCAAGAGCACATTCAACCACCTTTTTATGTCTATCTGGGCTCTCAGTTGGCCACTGACCCCTTAGGGACTAATAGAACCTTGCCCTGGTAACTTTCAGAATCTATCTCTACCTCCAGCCTTCCAGCTTTGGTTCTCCATACCACTCCTCCCATCCCCAGCCATGGTTCCTTTACAGCTCCTCACTCACCCATCTGAGTCTCTGTTCATAATCTTTCACATGTGAGAGAAACCTTTCTTCTTCTGATATACAGACTTACCTCATTAACTCTACCTTCTCTCTACTTACTACCAACAAAGTGTCTGTGCTTTTTCCAAGGCCAAGTACTCGACTTGGGCAGGTGTTCACTCCCAATCCCTTAAGCAGTTTTCTTTTGCCCTCCTGCATAATCAATTTATTCCTCTTGACTGGAACTTTTCCATAGACATCCAACATGCTATATCTCCCATCTTAGAAAACAAAACAAAAAACCTCTGGATCCCATTTCCCTCTTCAGCTATTCCTCATTTTTATGCAACTCTGTGGAACAAAACCCCTGAAGGAATTACTCTATCACCAATAGCTCTCCTTCCATTCTCTCTTGAATCCACTCCAGTCATGCCTACACCTCCCTCACTCACCTGAGTCAGCTCTTCTCAATGCCATGAGTGATCTCTGTGTTGCTAAATCTATGGTCAACTCAGCTTGTTTGGCCAATTTACAACTTTTCATGCAGTTGTTCACGTTCTCCTTGTGATACTTTCCTCTCTTGGCCTCTAGTATACCACACTGTCCTGGTTTTCCTCCTTCCTTCCTGGCTACTACTTCTCAGCCTCAGACTGTTAGTTCCTCATTTTCTTCTCAATTTTATTATTATTATTATTATTATTAATATTTAAATTGGGGAATCAGGGAAGGGGAACAGACAAGTTGCTATCCTTTTGTTCTTCAGTCTAGTTGTGGAGGACATCGCTTCACTGGCCCATGTTGGTATTATCATTGCGCTTTTTCCGAGTGAGGCAGTCGCTCGGCCATTGGACGGCTGCTCACGGTGGCTCTTGGCAGCTCACGAAAGCACACACCAGCTCCTGGCCAGCCCTACTGCAGTCTACATCATCACCCGCAACTCACAGCAGCCCAGTCCAGGTCGAGCTGTTGTTCACCATCTTAGCTGTAGAGGGTGCAGCATCACTGGCCCTCATGTGGGATCCGAACCGGGGCCCTGCTGCTCAGAGCTGGTGTCCCAAGCCAACTCTTACCAACACACCACTCGGCCTGCCCCACTCCCCAATTTCTTAATGTTGAAGAGTCCTAGAACCCAGTGCTTAGATCTTTTCTTCATTTACACTCATTCCCTTTGTGACTTTATCTGGTCTCGTGGTTTTATATCAATCAATCATCTGTAGCCAGGACCCTCCTTGAGGACTATCATGATTCTGTGTTGAGAATAGTGTTGGAGGTATGGTCTCAGGAAGAAGCTGGGAGGTTAGTTATGATGCTATTGCAGTAATTATAGCAGCAGAGGGAGTGAGAAATAGTCATGTTCTGGATTCATTTTGAAGGTAGAGACAACAGGATTTACTGATGAATTGTAAGTGGGGTATTAGAAACAAAAGTCAAAGATGTCAAAGACATCAATGTTTTTGGCATGAACAACTGGCAAGAGATAGGTGCCAGAACTGATGTGAGAAATGCTGTGATGGGAACAGGTTTGGTTTGTGTGATTGGGGGTGGTAGGGATACAGGGCATCAGGAGCTCATGTTTGAGATGAATATTGGGCTTCTAAGTGTTTGTGTTGATTAAACAGTTTGGGCTGTGACACTGTGTCCCATGAGATCATGAGCTCCAATGGAGGCAAGGCCTGTGTCTTAGTGACTATTGTGTCTGGCATAGTTCCTGGAATATAGTAAGTACTCATATATTTTAATTGTTGAATGCAAGATGCATCTTAAGGTCATACTTATTTGACCCCTTCATGTGATCCTAGGATTCTCTTCATCAGCTAAGTATTTCCTTCTGTGTCAGGATACCACATACCATAGCATTTATGACACTAATGTAATAATTTATCTGCCTCCACAGCCCAATCTCATGGTTCATGGTTTTAAATACATCTATCTATCTATCTATCTATCTATCTATCTATCTATCTATCTATCTATCTATCTATCTATCTATCATCTATCATCTATGTATATCTATTTATCTAGCTGTCTCCCTGCCTGCCTAAAGTCTAGGCCCTTCCCTGAACTCCAGGGTTATATGACCAAATCATCTAATCAACATATGCACTGGAATGTCCAATATCCATCTCTAATATACAAAAGTGACTCCTAATTACACCCCCCACCATCGCTGCCCAATCACACATACCACCCTACTCCAATCATAGTATTTCTATAATTTATAGTATATCAGTTAATGGTAACTCCATCTTGCCAGTTATTTAGACCAAAAACATTGGTGTTATCCTTGACTTTTTCATCTCTGTCCACATCCAATCTATCAGTAAACCCTGTTGTCTCTACCTTCAGAAATAATCCAGCATCTAAACACTTCTAATCTCCTCTGCTGCTACCATTACTGGGGTAACCTCATAATAATCTCTCTGAGTCTATCAGCATCTATATCCCCAACACTCTTATTATCACCACAGCCTAAGTGATCCTTTTAAAATATATCAGATATAAGCAGACCCTCTGATAGCTCCCCCATTTACTCAGAGGGTTAACATCTTTGCAATGACCTTCTAGGTCTTACCTCATCTCCCTCCTTTACTGCTCTGACCTCATCCTCTACTACTTTATCCCTTGATTATTCTGCTTCAGGCTTACTGTCCTTGTTCCTCTGAACAGGTTAGGCATGCTTCAACCTCCCAGCATCTGCATTAGCTATAATTTCTGTCTGGAATGCATTTACTCAGTTTATCTATGTGGTTTACTCTCTCACGTGAAAACTGTACCTCACCTGTGTCTTCCCCAAAATTCTTACCCGATTTTTCATATATTTGGTCGGCTTCTACATACTACATTTTAAAATTCATGCTTCTTTTATCTCCCTCTCTAGTGTACTATCAATGTAAGCTCATTGGGGGCAGAGTTTTTTTCCTCTTTTGTTTACTATATTTCCGGGGCCTATACAAGTGCCTGGCATAGAGCAGGTGCTCAACATTAGTTCAAGAAATGAAAAAATGGATAAGTTAATGCCATCCATTCTCCAGCTTGGAAACCTCATTCTGATCCCTGGAATATTTTGATATGCTTTTTTGATTATTACTGGTACTTCTCCAGCAAGTCACTGTTCCCTGACATGGCATGCCCATTGGTTTGACACCAGGCCTTTGCTTATGTTGTAATCCCAGCCTGGGAAGCCTCTCTATGCCCAACTCCCCTGCTGACTAATTTCTGCTCATCCTTTGAAACTCAGTCAACATATCACCCCTTCCAGGAAAATTCCAACGAACACCCCCCCAAAATGAGGTTAAGTGTCCTCCTGTGTAGTTTCACTTGCTTCCTCTAATCAGCTCTTATCACATTGCTTTTAGTGACTTTTTATTTGACTGTTTATTCCATGATTCTATGAGCTCCGTGGGAGGCAGGCCTGTGTGTTGTTCATTGTCATGTCCCTAGTGTCTGACATAGTACCTAGCACATAAAGTACTCGGATGCTTGAATTGTTGAATGCAAGACTCAGCTCAAAGTCATTTTTATTGCAACCCTTTTGGAGACTTTCTCATCAACTAGTCTTCATTTTAGGAGGCATTCATTCCATGCAGCTGAAAGGCAATGAAAGGTGAACAGGCAAACAGGTTCCCAGATGGGTTACCCCCTAAATATCTAATCGACAACAACAGGGCACATAGAGGGAAGATTCTATCATTTGCTTTTGACATCTGTTAATATTAGCTTTGCACTTTTGATAAACACAAAGCACCTCCTCTAAAAACCTTCCCTCCAGATTGTGGGCATATATAAAAGATATCTATGAATTATGCCCAAAGTGCACTGGATTCCTGGTATCTACTTGTACTATCCTCATGTCCACATTGCTCCTCTGGGCCCAAAGCCATAGGATTCAAGGCTGATCATTACTTTCAATGCACCTTAGAAGAGAGTCTTCCTTTTCTGCTCAAGTCCTTTAATCTGCAGTCCAGGGTGGGGCTGACAGAGTTGTAGGGAATGCTGACTCATCTGAAATAAGGGATTTAAGCTCTTACACCATTTGGGCAGTTACCATCTACCTCCTCTACTCTCTCCATCATATACCACATTGAAAATAAATAGGCACAAATAGGTGGTTCTTGGCTTAGAGGTATATAGTATATTTGGAGAGGGTCTTGCCTCACCTGCACTTTAATGGAAATGATGACAATAGCCTTTTTCATGGGGATGCAGACGTTCAGGAAACTATGAATTCCTTTCTGGACAAAGGGTATTCTCTTTGCATAGACCAGTGCCTTATGTTGAGGTGAGAGTTGGGATCTGGGATGGATTTTCTGGTTAAGTGGCACAAGTCAGCTGAGGACAGTGCTTGGAGCTGTTGTGGGGAAGGCACTGGAACCAGGAGTGGCTAGACTGAAGGGAATGTTAATGGAGTTCATTGTCTAGGCACTGGCAGGCATCAAAGAAGGTCATGCCCTCCTCCTCTGTTGTCTTTTCCAACTCAGCTTGCTTCACAGGGCCTCTGGTGGGGGGTGGACTCTTCTCAACCTTTTTTGTCACAGTTTTGGCCACTGTCTCATCCTTAGAGAGGAGAATGGGTTCCTTATGCCCTTGACCTTTCACCTCGGGGTCACTCCAGTGTGGAAAGTGCTTCATCTTATTTCCCAAGCTGGCTTCTGCAGCTTCTGGAAGGTGGTGCTCTTGTGAGTATGAGCTGCCTTTACCAGACCTTACAGCTATTGACTTTAGAAAACGTGGCCCTGTAAAGTTTGGATCTGAAGAATGTGGCTCCCTCAAATGCAAGACTTGCAAAATTTGGCCTAGCAAATCATGGCCCAGTAAGTTGATCCTGTAAGGTCAGGCCATTTAAGCTCTGGGTACTCCAGAGCATTCTCAGGAATCCTTATTTGGGTGAGATCATTCAGCTTGCTCTAACAGCTCTGCAGACCATTCTTATCTAGATCTTTTGCCCCAAAGAGTCCTGGAGGATTCTCTAGGAGCTCAAGGTGAGGGAGAAGCTGGTTAAGGTGTTGACAGGGAGCAGTAAGCTGAGAGGATGGAGACGGTGGCTCTACAGACCCAGACAGATCCTTGCTAGTCCCTACTCACTCAAGGCGACCATCTTGGTCAAACTATAATTCTACCTGAGAAAGATTCTGGGGATACATTTGGGAAGACAGGGGCTCAGGAAGTTCTACTTAGAAGTATCCCTACTCCCTCTGCAGAGTGGATGTTCTCCCTTGTTGGAGAGAGCCTCAACACTGCACCTCCTTCTCTGTGATTCTCTGCTGTTTTGAGTTTCCCTGGGTCCTCTGTTTTCTCTGCTGGTATAGGGAGTTGTCTTCACCCTTGCAGAGACTTGGGGCTAAGGGGTCCAGAACTCCTCCAGGCTGAAGTTGTTCACACTGGTCTCCAGCTGAACACAAAGCCCCTGGGCCTCTGTAATGTCCCCACTGGTTGTGAGACCTTTAAGGCCCCGTGGGCAGAACCGTAAGGACTGCTCTGGAATTAGCTTGCTTTTGGTTCTGCTGCACTGCCTTAGTTTAATTACAAGCTCTTCTTTAAGGTGGACCATTCTGGTGGCACATGGGATACCTGATGGGAGGGGGACTGCCTGGGGCAATGTTTTCCCTTGGTATTTTAGACTCCTAAAGGACTCCTAGGCACAGGTAGTCCTTCGGACAGCCACTGTTTGTTCCCTGGATTCCTTTGTCTTTATGAGACCTCCCAAATATATCTCCAGGAATTTCTTCTTTCAGGTAAAAATTTAATTTGGCCAAGATGGGTGTTTTGAGTGAGTCAGGGTTATCAAAATCTGTCTGGCTCTCCAGAGGTATTATCTCCATTCAACTGCACTTCAGTCTGGAATGCCTGTGGACTGTCTGCACAAATTTCATTGGAATCTTGAAAGCATGGCTCAGGACTTAAGACATTGCTGTTTAGATGACATTGAGCCAGAGGCGCTCTGTTGGGCCTCCAACAGGCCCAGGCACAATTTCTGTGATGGCTGACTGTCTAGTGATTACCGGGGCCATGGTCTTAGAGAAAGCTACATAATAATGAGCCAGTGGCCCTGATAAGAAGGCCAAAACTTGTCTCCAGTTTCTCAATGACTCCTTGGGATGGTATCCACACAGGTGCTGATCAGGGAGATCAGCGACAGCATTTGGTGAAGCTTGCTGCTGCTGGTCAAGGCCTGTAGTGTTCAGGGTGTCACTTTCTGATCCATGTAAGAGCTAATTGCTGCCTCCATGTCTAGGGGCTTTCTTTCTGGGGTGTAAGGGAACTAAGGTGCTTCTAGGGCCCCTGGAATGCTGCTGCCCCAGTGATCTGATGTCCCACCGGTACAGATGTGGGCAGGGACAATGCCCTAGCAGATCTTCTCGCATTTGTAGTCAATGTGGCTCTGCAACATTGCCTTGGCCTGGGTGAGGAACTGTGGGCTGGCCCTGCTGCCACAATGGATCAGAACAGGTTCCTATTCCCACTGGCATCTAGGCCTGTAGGCTAGGGGAAACTCACATTGTACTGCTCCAGGGCAGGGGCTGCTGGTCATCAGTGGACAGGAGCAACTGGGGCCCCAGAATTGGTGAATCGACCTGATAAACCAACTACTTCTGAAGGTGGAACTCCAGCAGCTCTGGGCAAGCTCCAGGAAACTACTACCTGCCTCTTCAGGACTGAAATAGGCTTCCCCAGACAGGTAGGCCCCTGGGTGTCAGGGGATGGGTTACCTAACATGTCTCAGGGCTGTGTTGTATGGATCGCTGCCTCTACAGAGATCTCTGGGCAACAGCTGGCAAGCCCCACTGAAGCTGGAGCTGCCGTGGCAGCAGGGGTCACTCCAAGTCTTCACACTTGGCCAGAGTTGGAAATGGGACATTAGTATGGGCTTGCTGATAGTCAGGTAGAGATGCCCAAACTCAGAAATGTGGGAGGAAGGCGGGACTAACTGAGGTGGAGGGAATTTTAGACAGTACAGAGATTAAGAAGAAATGATTGAAGAGACAGGGTGTGGGGGTGCCCCCTTTTTGTGGAGAAACCTCCTGGGGCAAACCAGGGACTCATTGTGCAGAAAAGAGGAACCATGGAAAAATAGCTGTATTAATGCTACAGATAACACAATGAGGCCTCAGTGTGTCCCCCGGGCAATGGACAGAGACCACTTAGTAACCAAAGAGTGGTAGAGGGTAGACTAGAGCCATGGAGTCTAGGATTTGCTTACATTGATATCTGCTTTGGGTCCATAATGGATCCTACAAAAACCCAGAAAGTTTAGGTGGACTGGCTGACTTCCCATGAATCCCAGGTCAGGGAGAATAAAAGCCCGTTTTCTTGAAACAGGCCTTAGAGGTAGCATTATGATGAAAGAAATGGATGATTTTTCCTCCATGCTTGGAAAATATTTGGGGTAATGTGGTATAAGCTGCCATAGGAACTCTTCCACTGATCTTGAAAGCCCTCAGGTATAGAAATGCATGCATTTATGTATCTATACTTAAAGATACCTCATAGCTTTTGTGACACAGGAATAGCAGATGAAGGGAATGCAAGGCCATGAGGTGTTTTAGGTTGGCAAGCTCCGGGTTCAGGGAAAGAAAGGGAATCAGGGCATTTGAGGGCTGCTGACCTTGTTTCTCCAGGGTACATTCCAAGTTGCTCTTGTCCTGCTGGTTCATAGGAATCCTATGCTCCTCAAGGCTTAAAGAAGACAGAGCTCCTGCATCCCAGGACACAGCTGGTGCTTGAAGTCCCTTCCTTAGCTTGTGTTCAGCCCAGCAATCTTGGATGCTGACTGCATCTGTTGACTGGGCAGCTGACTGGGTTAAGGATTTCTGATCCATTAGTTGTGACATTGAGGGGGTTACACATGAAAATGAAAGCTCTTGGGCATGCTGGGAACCCTGGCTCTGCTCAAAAGACATATTAGACATAGACAAACCCTCTAGGCAAGAGGAGCCCTGCGATGGCCCCGGTGAAGTGGGAGAAACTGGGATGTTCTCACCCGCCAGCAACTGCTGGATCTCCAGAGCCAAGGCATTGCAGATGGGGCAGGAGAGATCTGCACACAGGAGCCTCCGCACACTTCCCTCCTGAGGAAACCATCCCCAGCTGTAAAGGGAAACATGGCAACTGTTAATGATGGAGTCACATGTGCATCTTTGGAAGTGTGTGGCCTGGAGATTAGCCCTGCCCTCCTTAGTCCTGTTAAGCCCTGGGATCTGTACCCACTGGGTGTTTACTCCTCTACCTTTCTTCCTAGGAAAATTCCATGTGGCAAGTTATGGTGGGCTGGGCTGAGGGTCTGCAGCTTGTTGGGCAAGGTCTCCGACAAGCCAAGGGAGCACAGGACCACGAGAGACTGGGAGGTGGGCTCAGTTCTATGGTGACTTGTGTTCAGAAACTGAAACAGGAGATGGGTTAAGGGGATGGGGGAGTCAATGGTTAGCTGATGGGACATCACCAAGGACATCAACAGGTAGAACCTGGAGTCAGTCTCTTTTGGGGCTTAGAAGGCCACAGCCTGTTATTTAGTATTTTCAAACTGTGGGAAATGAGATCCTTCTGGGAACTCTGCTTTCTGAGGACTCTGAGGAGTCGCTGTTGCTGAACATAGTATCTCTCGGAAGCCAATCTCATTCTCTAGAGATCTTAAGAAGAGGATAAGATAACTGGCTCCTGGCTGAGGGCTGCCCCAGGAGCTGGCCTCCCTTGAAGACAGAACCAGATGAGGTAATGTCAGCAGGGTCCAGGGGTCTGCCCTCAAAAGGGTGCAGCTATAAAGAGAATATGACAATGGTGACTTATCTACCCATTCTGTTGACTGGATAAGTTGTCATGTGGCTGAGTGCAAACCCATGGAAGGTCCCAGTGAATTGCACACTAGTCAAATATTGAATTCCAGGAGCACTGTGAGCCTAGCGCAGAGCAGAACTGGGAGACTCCTCCCTTCTGAGACATCTGATGCCCCTCTGCCCTGGCAACCCTCTCAACCAGTGCTCCAGCCTCCACTGTGTCTGGTCCCCTCACAGCCACCATCCCTCTCCTCATCCCTGCCCCAGGCCAAGCAGAGAAATCATCGCAGGCCAGGCTGGGAGTTGGAAGACTACAAAGAGCAAGAGATCACCTTTTCATGACAGACAGCAGCTCCAAGGGCTTCTCAGCTTCTTTCCAGGAATGTCTCCTAACTGAGAAACCAGAGGACTGTGTTATATGGAAGAGGAGAGGATCAGGGATATCCCATAGGTGGCTGAAAGCCTTTGAATGGGAGGAGACTGAAAACCCAATACCCCATGCTCTAAGGCATGTCTGCGTACCACTTTGCCAGTTACGATGTGCTGTCCCTGACCTAATCTCATTAGATCTTCACAGCCACCCCATGAGTGAGGCAGGCTTTTCAGATGCCCATTTTATGGATAACAGACTGAGAGATGAAGTGACTTCCCCAGGGTCATAAAACTAGTAAATGGCACAATTAAGGACTTCTGCCCTGCTTTCTCATTCCTCATTCTCCGGGGAAAGGGGAGAATTTTGGAACATCCCCAGGCTCTGATTTCCCACCCAAGAAAGGCTTCTGGGAGAATTTGTCAAGTTGGGGAACTGGAGGCTTCAGTGGTTAGAGCACGTGGCTCCTGGTACCAGGCGTCAAAGAGGAAACAGGCTCTATGGGAACCTTGCCCAAGTGGAGGGGAGTCAGAGAAGAGAGCGGGACTTTACCTCTTGATGGTCTATATTTTTGTTTGACTCTCCGATGATGCTAAAGACAAAAAAGTTAGAGTGAAGCTGGGGCACCCTTTTCTTTTCATGTTAAAATGAGACAAAGCCCTTAAATATTTCCCAAATTTATCTGTATGTCAATTTTATATATTCTCCTTTCTTTTCCCTTCTCTACATCTTTCACCCCATCATTTCGTTTCTCTTCTTATTTCTGATTCAAGACTCTTCCATACCTCCACCCCCATTCCCTGTACAAGTTCTGTGGAGAGATCAGAATGAGACAAGAGAAAAAGTGGAACAGATTAAAGGATGGGTGGTTTAGTAGGCAAAGGACTTTAGTCATCTAAATGTCTACCAACTGGAAGAATCACCTAAATTTGGTGCTGTTCTGGGATCCAATGAGAAAACCTCCATAGAAAAGTAGGGGATATGAGTAACAAGAGAAAGTGAGGGAATAAAATCTTGTTTTAGGTTTAATCAGTTCAGTCATGGTCATAGGATTTCCCTACCCGGCAACAGCTCCTGTTAGGTTCCAACCTTAATTCTTGGTGGTTCTTTTTCACATGCCAAAAAATTAGTGCAATAATAATGATGGAGCCATAAGTGTATAAGGGATAGCCAACATCCCACACAACAAAGGTAGGGCTCAACATAATCTAAACCTCACTAGCCATCCTCTTCTTAGGTTTTCAGAGTCTTGGAAACTAATGTCTCCATATTCTAGACCTTGTCATCTCTGCCTCATAGAAGATGGAACCAGATGACCAGACTGCATCACAAAGCCCTCCTGTTTGCCAAAGCATACAGAGCATCACAGGCCATTATCTGTCTAAGAGAAGCTCATCTGATTCAGTGTTCAGATGAGGGCGTCTAGTTGTTTGTATGGGTTGCAGAGCCTAGGCATAAAGGTGCCAAGGTCATGGGCAGCACATATTCTTTCATAGTCTTTCTATTCCCTATACCCTGATGGCTTAGCTCTCTCCTTTAAGACAATAGTCTGGCATCTATCCCCAGAAAACTAAGTCTTTAGGTACACTGCCTGTCCTGTAAGAAAGGTAGTGGCTAGGTCAGGGAAACTTCATGAACTACATCACCTGTAGTGGGGAAGATAACTAAAAAATACACAAAAAGATAGGGTACACAATGTCTTCTTAAGTCTTGGAAAGTGAGGGTTTTGATGTCACAGGCAATAAATAGGTGGTCAGTATCAGGAGGTTCAGGAGAGGACCATGTCTGATGTGGCAAGGGAAGGACATAGGTGCTATCCTTTTAAATAACTTTCTAAGTTACTTAAAGAAAGAGCCCTCCCAGTCTGTGTGATCAAGATTGAGATGGGCCGGAAGAGACTGTAAACAGTGCCTTCCATGGAGGCACATGAATGAGGCTTACTTCTGGAGCTTGATTTTCCAGACTGCCTCTACAGATCTTAATGCATCCTGCCATATTCATGGAGATGGATTATTGGCAAGACTTTTGATTAAGGACCACAAACTTGTGGCTTTTTGGTTGATTCCATCATTGCTGAAATATGTGGCTAAGTGTTTTAGAAAAATCTGAATTTAAACACCTTTAGGTAGGGCAAGCTTATTCCTTCCCAACTTCAATAGCCACAACTCTATGTCCACTGATTCACATGTTACTGTTAACTTCATGGCCCCTGTTGACATGGTGATATGCCTCCAATACTCCAGGATTTCGGCATTTCCTTAAGAAGTTTTTGCCCCGAAGAGAGTGGTCCTACACCTCAAAAATGCTTGGACAAACTATCTAAAGAGGTCATTTGGTCCTGCCTCCAGCATCTAGTCCTCACCCAAACAAGTATGTAGAGCACTCAATCTATTCTCTCAACACTTAAAAATATAGTTTCAAAGACAAAACTCATTCACATGAATCAAGAACCAACCTTAGCAGGGTTTGGGGAAAAGGGGAGTAGGGAGTTATTACTGAATGGTTACAGAGTTTCTGTTTGGGATGATGAAAAAGTTCTGAAAAGGGTAGTGGTGGTGTACACTTAAATGTACACTTAAAAATGGTTAAAGTAGTACATTTTTGCATTAAGTGTATTTAACCATAATTTTAAAAACAAAAGGCAAAAAAACCTCAATCATTAGCATGATGAACTTTTTATTAGTTGTAAGGAAGAATATCCTGAAAATGATTTGGTAAGGAAATGAATTAATGAATTTTTCTTAAATGTTCTTTTATATAGAACAAATTTAAAAAAAACTAGATCCCTACATTTAAGACAATTTATGAAAGCCTCACCCTGAAGATGGGATGAATTTGAGCCATTTCAACATATTTTCTGAACTTGCAAATTCCAAAATACAGGAAAGAGCACTGAATGACAGGTTGGCAAACATCAATTGTAAAGCAGCTTGCATCAGCTTTTTAGTAGCAGGTCAAGATACCTACAAAGTAGCTTGAATCTTTTATTTTATTATTCCTACCCAACCTGCTCCTGCTTCCTGCAGCTGCTGCTGCCCTCTATGCTGCTGCAACAGTTCTGTGGCACTGCATGGTGTTTGGTGTCCTCCTCCCCTGAGCTCTGAATATATGTGATTAATACTGTTAATCTCATAGGTCCAGTGTTGGTGTCATGTGTTCAGCCATCCCCAGAACTCTAGGGTGGCACTCTCTCTCTCACCAATGGGAGAGGAGGTGAACAGAATACTACTATGTATCCTACCCAGCCAGCTCTGGCTTCCTGCAGCTACTGCAGCTTTTTTGCCTCAGTCTCCATTAGCCTGGCCTTTTGCCCCAGGCAAAACCATCAGATTCTGCAAACTTCACACCTGTTCCAGCCAGTGCACTTAGCTTACAGATAACCCACAGTCACTATCATCCCACTAAACCATTAAAACCATCTGTTGCAAACGCCTCTGCAGGGACTCACCCAGCCCTTGCTCCTGTCAGACCTGAGGAGTTGGAACCAAAGATAATCTTATGGCGTTTTGCAGAATTGGTCTTTAGTACAGGTTTATTTATTGATTAGGTACTCGTTGACAGAGGTGCTTGCATGGATAGGACAGTGGGATCGGAATCTTCCTGAACAAGGGGGCACTCACATAATGAACGCACTATCTGTCATTTCTAATAATGTGGGTATGGATCTTCCCATCTGCCCGTCCTGCCTCATGGTTTATAGTGAACAACAAGCAAGGGAGATGAAGTACATGAAAAGCCTCTGTGGACTCTGGAGGACTACACAACTCGAAAAGATTGATGTTCATATGTTTCTAGAAAACTTGCTAAAGCCAGACCCTGCTTCCACGATAATGCTACAGCACCAGAATTATTGTAGTAGTAGAATTTCCTCAGGAAAGTGTTCACAGTTACTGATTCATATGTACCGTGGGTCATATCACAGCCCTATAAAGAAAAATCCTGACAGATATGCCACTGATGTGAGTTGTCCCTCCATACAAGTCTTATGAAGGGAGTTGTGCTGTGTCTCATTCTCAGAAAATAGTACTGAACACCTTAGATATGCCAAGGTGCTGGGACAGAGAAGCATAGTTGCTGCTATTTGGCAGCAACATTTTTATACATGAGCATTTTCATTAACGCTCAAGAGCTAAGATTTCCAGAAAGTTGGACAGGAAACCCCAGGGCAGTGTCAGCAGCAAAGCCACCAGCACTCGCCAGGAGGTTACTCTAGTATACAGAAGTGTAGCAAGCAGCCAGAGGCACTAGAGAGCAGCACATGCCCACTCAATGCTCCTGGTCCTGAGGCCTCAGTAACAGGTCATCCGCTCCAGTGGCTCTCAATCCTGGCCTTACATCAGAATCACTGGTAGGCTTGTGAAAATATAGATTTCCTGGCCTCACCCCAGACTTAATGAATCAGAAACTCTAGGAGCAGGGCCCAGCAATCTATATATTAAGTACGAATCAAAAATAATCCTCACGCAGCAAAGCACTGGGCTCTGGGTATGTATTCAGGAACAACTGGCTTCCAAAGAGCAATAGTTCTTCTCCCTTCCTCCAGTTTTATTGAGATATAATTGACATATGATACTGTGTTAGTTTAAGGTGTACAACGTAATGATTTCATATATTTATATGTTGGGAAATGATTACCACATTAAGTTTAGTTAACATGCATTCACCATACATGTTACATTTTTTTCTTGTGATGAGACCTACTCTCTTAGCAATTTTCAAATATACAATACAGTATTATTAACTATAGTCATCATTCTTCATTAGATCCCCAGAACTTATTAATCTTATAACTGGAAGTTTGTACCTTTTGATTCACCATTTCTCCTACCTCTACCACTGGCAACCACCAATCTGTTTTCTGTTTCTATGAGTTCAGGTTGGATTTTTTTTTTAGATTTGACATATAAGTGAGATCATATGGTATTTGTCTTTCTCTGTCTGATTTATTTCACTTAGCATAATGCCTTCATGTCCATCCATGTTGTTTCAAAAGGCAGGATCTCCTTTTTATTTATGGCTAAATAATATCCCTGTGTGTGTGTGTGTGTGTGTGTGTGTGTGTGTGTGTGTGTGTGTGTGTGTATCACATCTTCTGTATCCTTTCATCCATCAATGGACACTTAGGTATTGGCTATTGTAAATAATGTTAAAATGAACACAAGGGTGCAGATATCTCTTCTGGATAGTGATTCCATTTCCTTCAGATATATACCCACATGTGGGATTGCTTGATCATATACTACTTCTATTTTTAAGTTTTTAAAGAACCTCCATCCTCTTTTCCATAGTGGCTGAACCAATTTACATTACCATTAACAGTGCACAAAGGTTCCCTTTTCTCCACATTCTTGCTAGTCAGTGGTGATCTCTTATCTTTTTTTTTAAGATTTTATTGGGGAATTGGAGAAGGGGAACACTGTGTTTTTCCAGGACCCATCAGCTCCAAGTCAAGTTGTCGTCCTTCAATCTTAGTTGGGGGGGGGGGGGGGGGGGGCGCAGCCCACCATCCCATGCGGGAGCCAAACCGGCAACCTTGTCTTATCTTTTTGATGACAGCCATTCTAACATGTGTGAAGTCATATCTCATAGTGGTTTGATTTGCATTTCCCTGATGATTTGTGATATTGAGCACCTTTTCATATACCTGTTGGCCATTTGTATGGTTTCTTTGAATAAATGTACATTCAGTTTTTCTGCCCATGGTTAATTGGATTGTTTTTTTTGCTATTGAGTTGTGAGTTCTTTATGTATTTTGGATATTAATCCTTTATCAGATATATGGTTTACAGGTATTTTCTCCCATTTAGTAGGCTGCTTTTTCATTTTGCTGATGGTTTTCTTTGCTGTGCAGGAGGTTTTTAGTTTGATGTAGTCCCACTTATTAATTTTTGCTTTTGTTGACTTTGCTTTTTGTGTAAAATACAAAAAAATCATTGCAAAGACCAATGTCAAGGAGCTTACCTCCATGTTTTCTTCTAGGAGTTTTTTAGTTTCAAGTCTTATGATCAAGTCTTTAATTCATTTTGAGTTTATTTTTGTATATAGTGTAAGATAAGGATACAGTTTTATTTTATCTTTTTTTTTTTTGCATGTGGCTGTCCAGTTTTCCCAACAGCATTTATTGGAGAGACCATCCTTTCCCCATTGTATATTCTTGGCTCCTTTGTCATAATAATTGATCATATATATATCGGTTTATTCCTGG